TATATATATATACATCCTATATGTACGTATATACTTATAGATATATATATTCCTATATATTTATGTATATATATATCTCTATGTATATATATATATATATTCATTTATATATCATTTTGTATATATATATATATTCATCTACATATATATATATATATATATATATATATTATGCTATCTGTATATATGTTTTTGTATGAATTATGCAGGTATGTACAAGTTTTATACTGTCTATATATTCATATGTAGTCACATCGTCGCGAATCTGTACTTGGTTGACAACTTAATACATTGACCACGACCCAGTTTTTGTTTTCCGAGGATGAAAGGTAAGATGTAGGGTCTTGTTGCTCATTGCCATTCTTACTGTGAATTTATAAATTCATACAAGTTTACAATTTTTTATGAGATGCTCCCGAATATTATCTGAAGGCAGGTTGGGATTATTGATACTCACTCTTCGCGTGTAGCCCATTGTGTTCCCAAATATGTCCTGTTTCTGCTCGTCTCTCAACAGGTGAATATGTCTGCATTACACAAGGCTGTCTATGAGGCTGACATGCCGCGTGTGAGAGCTATAATAGCCACCGCAAAAGAAGATGAACTAAATGAATGGGTCAATGCTCCTGATCTCAGGGGCAATCCACTTTTGCACCTGGCCATTTGGAGGGGAACGGTAGGTATTGAACGCATATTTCTGTCCCTTGATAGTTTCATTGACGCTCCGATACTGTTGAGTATTCGATTTAGTCTCTGACATAACAATTGCCATGTAGCATACAAATTGTACTTTGTGATTTGGTACATACTTTGTTCTCAACTTGTCTTGAATAAATCTATGCTATCACTTCCGCAGTACGAGATGGTCGAACTACTTCTTCGTTCTGGCGCCAAAACGAGATGCAAGAGCAAGGAGCGCTGGACAGTATGTTCCTTTCGATTCTCATTACTCCGTCGTTTCTGACCTTTCCGATAATGTCGTACGCAGCTGTAGCTATCTGCATATAGGCAATATATAGCCCAAACCCTTGTGAGCGATGAATTCTGAGCATATCATCCTACAAGCCTCTAGCCTTGCGTTGCGTTTCACAAGCTTTTACGCTTTATTCCTCGCGTTCTCGAAGCATGCCAGCGAGCTGGGACCCATTGCTTAGTGATGCTTGTTCTAAGCAGAACGGAGCGTCATTGTCTATATAAAATTTTCTAATTCATTTTCTGATATATCTATTGCCGGCAGGCCTTAGATGAAGCTGTGAGCATGGGCGACCGTCAGATAATCCGACTTGTGTACAAAGCGCACATGAATCAGGTCTGAATTTTTGCTCGGAGGTTCTTTTATGTCAATTATGCGTGTAGCATGGATGGAGAAGCAAACTTGCGCACGACTTTAAATTGTTCGTGTACCCTTGTGCACCCTGGCATTGCTTGCCGTAGCAATGGAAAATTTTAATTGAGTCTCCATCAATGTCGAAAAATTTATCCCCCTAGGCATTGTACAAACTGCTTTTTGCTGGTGGGCCGCTTCTCAATGCATGGTTGAAAATATAGCGTATCCCGATGTGGATTCGGGGTTGATCTCTAACTCATTCTCATTGCGCCTTCGGAGCGCACCTTCGCACGATTTCACTTTTCTACACGCTATGCAGTGTGTGTTCTTCATATCTCAGAGGTGTCAAATCGACTATACTACCCCGTCCCTCTCCTCACAATCTAACATATGCCTCCCGTCTCTGTATCGTTATGGCTTATGTTTTTATAGGTGGAGTCGGACTTCCAGAATAGTTTGCCCAGGTTGCTAGAAACGCTCAAACTTGCCGGTGACTTCATTTTGACCCTTGATTGGCATGTAAATACTTGGATCCCAGTTATATCTCGTATCAGGTTGAGTGATACCTACACAATCAGCAAAAAGGGGACCATGGTTCGGATAGACACCACACTCACCGGGTTTAATGAATATTTTATTGCTGAAAGGGGTAAGTAGGTGCATTGGTCACAGCAGCTCTGTTTTAGTTGCTCGACCGAGCAGGATTTTACTAATCGTCAACCTTGGTATTATGCAAACATGCACAGAGTTTGACTCTTCACTCAAGACCACATTTGACTACCCATTCGTATTGTGATATGCACTGGTGTTTTATGTCTCATATTCTTTAGTCCATTTGACGCATTTTATGCAGGTGACGTCAGCTATATATTCAAGTTAGAGGGCGAGGATGCCAAAAATCAGCGGAAAAGTTTCATTGTGATGGACAATCCCAAACGCCGCTACAACATTGCGCGCAGCAAGGTGAAGCCTAAACATCGTCGATCAACAACTGGGATTGAGAAATCCAGTCGCAATGGCGTGGGTTCTGATTCTAGGAGTCACAACCACGGTTATCAACGTAGCAATCGCACGCATGCTAACAACACGGTACATAGTGGTGTTGCAGCTCCGGGTATCGGTTCTGGCTTGCTCGATGGGAGTGCAGTGATTACTTCGAGGTCAAGCACTAGTGTGGTTGGAGCTCCCGGGGGGGGGTGTTCTGCGAATGGAACAGATACTTTTAGACGCAGAAGTACGAACGCACGGCCTTCCGCACATCCAATGTGTTCACCCCTCTACATACACGGACAAATATCAAGAAAATCGCTTCCGAAGTCTGTCTCAAACTCGCAGTCACGGAGACAAAATTCACATATGCAAACAGGCGGTAGTATGTTTGCAGACACGAGCTTAAGGAGCTTGGAAGGGCAAGTCAACGGTTCGGAAGCCGAATTTGAAGAGCACAGTATCAGCGGCAGAGGGTGCAATAGTCTGAATCTGAGGGCAGCCACAGCTAAAAGGAGGAGCTCGTCTGTGAGCATTGGAAGTGCAGCTAGTGGCAATATGAGACGGCTTAGCGACCAGAGCGCTTACTCACAAGGGGCCGCCTCCAACACCCGAGATACAGACTGTCAAGGTAGCACATACAGCAACATTAGCGCGGGCGCAGGGGAGAGAGAGAGGGGCAGGTTTGAGCAGTTGGAGCGTGTTTGTAGTGGGATTCTAGTAGCGGAACAACATACCGATAGCAGAGATAGAACGCCTAGCCAGGCCTCGGATGACCCGTCAGACTTCACGTCGTCCACCAGCACTCTAAAAGTACTGACAACTCCGACTGGGAGGAGTAACAGTGTGGGGGAGGCCATCAAGCCTGTAATTTCCAGTCGAGCGAGGAAGGTGACCAGTGATCTCGGCAATCCCACAGTCAGCAAGGTCGCCGGTGGAAGCTATTTAAAAGTTGCAAAGAGTTGGGGAAGTAGTACGGAGGACGAGGCTAACAGGCTGTCCAAAATACCATCGCCGGGGCCAATTGGGCGTGGTAGAACACTTCAAGGCGGTGGTCTGGGGGATCAGTGGGCTGCGGCTGTGAGTAGCACGAACCGTAGCACTAAGAGCGAAGCCCAAGCGCCAAATCCAGAGAAGAGTACCGGTACAGGCAGCAACGGAGTGCGTCAAGATTGGATGGGTGACTGGAGGTCGGAGAGGAGGCGGAATGAAGGCTACGATAGCTATCACCAACGGGTGAAGCACCATCATGCGAGTGAGCCCGACCTAGTGAGTGAGTATTACCTATCGGGGCTTCGTGCTGAGCTTGTTCAAGACAGCAAGGAACCCCCTGAACGACAAATTAGCAAGGAGAGAACAGCCGACAAATCGGTAAAAGTCACCATATCCGATGGACTGAATGATGGCAATCACAAGGACTGGGAGACGTCTGCGTGGCAACTCAAGCCGAACTCTAGCACGGGGAGCAAGCACAGTGTCAGCAGCGAGCCCTCGTTCTCTCCGATAGTTAGCAACACCGTAACGCCGGAGTCCCGCAGTGTGACCAGTCTGCGTCAGGTGAATGACTTGGTGCGAAGGCCAAATCTCAGTGCGAGTGGCATCAACACCAGCAGTTTAGGTATGGTCGTGCCTCTCCTGGGCAAAGACGATGTGTCTAGTAGTTGTGATATGGCTACCCAATTACTCGGCTCTTTGTTTGCTCAAGGTCTGCTTAGTATAAGGTAGCGCCTAGCAATCATGTGATATCTTAACATCTGTCTATATGTTTTCAAATTCTGTGCTCAATTGTAAAGCTTCAAAAGTGATTTCTTTTGCGTAGCAACCCGAAGTGACTAGGAACTTCTTCTGATTCTCCCAATTTTCTGTAATTGAATATTCTTTTCTGTTGTTACGCCAGAGGATACTCGTATTGTATCGACCAAAACCCTGCAGACGTAGGGTTAACATTAGTTGTTTTACCTACCACTACTCTTTTTGTGACTCTCACTCAAATCGGCAACGGTCCAAATGATACATAGAAGAGAAGTGAGAAAGTTGAATTTAATAGCCATAACCCCTTTTCAATGGTGCATTTGAAGTGCGCACAGTTTTGCTATAACTTACCATGCCCAAAAACAAAAACACAAACACCCCTTTCGCCATATATCCCATCCGGCAGTCGATGTACAGCTCAATCTCAATGTTAGCAGGAGCACAGGCAACACTTCATTGCGCAAGTATCTATGCACGACACCATCAAATGCGAGCCAAACTAGTTTCATCACACCGGCAAGTACCCCCACCACTATGAAACGCGGTCATAGTCTCACGGGGGTGGAGAGCTGCACGCCTTCCGGGACACCCAGCGGGAATGGGCGAGGCAGTGTGTTCGGGTACAGTCAATACGCCATCACCCCGAGTGGTATGTCGAGATGCGTGTTTCTGGTGTGAATTTGTATCAATCTCCCTGCGTTGGGTCTGAAATGGGGTTTTCTGTCGAGCTCTCAGGCATTGAATTGCTGGATTCACGTGTCTGTCCGGCCTGTAGATTTAGTTCATAGGTCTGCGGACGGCAGCGTAGCCGACGTGTTTGATAAGAGCTGCCATGTCCATTGTGTCAGATTAGAACCCTCAACAAACGCGATGCATAACGTTCTGGTCATACAAGTGGCAGGGGCATAGTGGTGTGCGGCGAGATTCATGTAAAATCAATGTGTGTGAACGCGTTTATTACGTGACTCTGACTTGATACAAATCTATTCATCCCGTATAAACAGGCACTCCAAATTTGCGGGTCAAAGAAAAGTCTGGTGTGCAGCAAAATCGAAGTAAGAACACGAGCATCAACAACCTTAGCGCGGATGGGAGTGTATCCAGCATCAGCACAGAGACGCACCCAAGCATACATTGCCATGTGAGTGGCATGAAGGCGCCGAGCATTTCTAGCTTTGACTACTCGAGTGCTCATACAAGTGCGGATGGTCTTAAAAAAAGGGAGGCAAGAGAGAAGAAGAAAGCGAAGCTGGTAGAGGATGAATTAGATTTATTGATGCGCAACGACGTGAGTAAGGTTAACATGTCCACTAAGTGTATACGATTCGAAAAAGCTAAGGCTGGCATATGGGGTATGCGGCACGATCGGATAGGGGTGATAAATGGGAGTATAGCGCATGTCTACGAGGTCAAGGTACGTTTTCCGAAAGTGTGCTTCTACTCTGTGCGGTCGCCATGCGATCTGTCAATTCTATGCAGACCACTATCGAACTGATCATCACAGCCAATACTTAAGCATCTGATTATACATGCGTCACACACTGTCGTCCTGGCCCGCGTGCACGCCTTCATGGCCTTCCGAGACGCATGGTTTACAGCCCTATACATAGCACAACACGAATCACTTGCGAATTTTGATTCCATAGCAATGCTGATCGTACTTATGTTTCATTGTCAGAATGTCTGCTTACGCATGCGAAAGCGACGGGAACACTTGAATGATGATGATATCAAGGCTTCGAAGCAATCTCGTATCAAAACAGCTGCTTTCGGTAAGTTTGTACATCCAATCATATAGAAAATGTTGTGCAACAGCAAGACGTTATATTTGCTAATGCGTAATGATTGTGGTAGCATGGGCTGTGTCGCTGCCGAATGCTCGTGCATTGCATGATGCTCTGCATTTCTAAAACCCTAAAACCACTATGTGCTGCCAACAGCTCAAGAGGCGCGACGAAATTCTATTACGGACAAGGCAAAGGCACGCCGGATACCCAGCATTACGCATAAGCAGAGCTTGAAACAGCCTCCGAGATGTCCCTTGACTTTTGAAGAATACTTGAGGTACGTAAGGCTTCTAGTCTGTTCTGAAGACAGCATACTCAGATACACCCGTAGATGAGACTTGACTGTGATCGTGTGGTAGGGTCATGCGCTTGAACTCTTCCTGGCAAACTAATCTCTCATACTTCTGCTACTCGCATGGCCCTTGTGATTGTTATGGGGTCGCACGTTGGCTGTTGTGAACAGTTGTAATTTATCGTGCCCCCATGTTCATTGCCTGAAATCGAGCAGATCTGATGTACGGCTAGGGCGTCCCCTGCATATGAAAGTACAAAGGAAAGACTTTAAGTGCCACGTGTGGATGTCTGAAGAGTTTCCAATGCAGGTGGCTACGCTTCTGAGTCTGTTGGAGATCGCGGCTCCGGCTAATAAGGTGATAATATTGATAATTGAATGTTTTGCATTATCTTACACGCATTGAGCAGAGTAGCGTGGTCAATGTATTTGCCTGTTTTCGCGCTACTTGCTAGTGTGTCTTCGGAAGTCCTGGCAAGTTCGGAAGTGACTATAAATATTATACGATGTACTCCAGCCAGGCGGTAATATGCGAACTGTAAGCCCTCGTACTTTGCTTCGTATGCTGCTTGCTCCATCGTATCTACACCGATGCTGCAATCACTGCGTCATAAGAAAAGATATACAAGTCTGTATATTGTTAACATCCACTTACTCTCTTGAACAAACCGCGCAGTACTTTGTGAAAATTCGGAATTTCTTGAGCACTTTACTACCGCCTGGCTTCCCGGTTCGTGTGGAGATTCCATTGATTCCCACTGTGAACGCCACCTTGACCTTCAGAGACTTGGTCTACACCGATATAGAAGATAGTCTGTTCACCTTTCCACCTGACTATCAGAGAGATCCAGCCATGAGAGTTCGTGGGTTCAAGTCTTCTAAAGAAGCACACAATGCAGACGACCACGGGTGACATGGACCAATATAGTATCTTATTCCAAAACGTGTATAGTAAACGATATATTACCATACGTTTCGTGTCTCAATAGTAAAAAGCTTATATGAGCTCACCTTGGAATGTAGAGTTTTGAAATTAAGCTGCTATCTCAATATAGCGCTCTTTGTTTCATTTCGACTGGAACGACGAATCCTTTATTATGAACCACCTAGACAGGTTTAGCATGATTTTGCGAGGCTTGAAAGAAAATAAGATTAATGTCTCAATCCTGGTATACGAACCGCATTGCTTTTTGTTTCGTCAGCGCATTCCGACTGCGGTTGTGTAGCGGCAAAACATCTGGTACTCTCAAGAGCTACCAAAGATTGCAGCAAGATACTCATCAGGCGAAGAAGCAGACTTCTATCTTGTAGGAAGATCAACAAATTGCGGGTAATCAGATTTTTTCTTGCGCAAGTTATGTTTTTTTGCCAGATGGTGTTGTAGAGACCGCCACCATTCGTATCTATACGGGCACCCTTCACTCGGACAAACATAAGGTCGATCTAGTTGACAAGGTCGCCTTCGCGTAGCTCTCTGCGAATCCGGATAATCCCTGCGAATATCAACACCATTCGCAGAACCCCACCTTTTCATTTGCACCAACTCCGAGTTTGTGGTCCTCTTGTTAGCGCCAATTTTAGAACCATGCAGATTGAATTGAGGACCATTGTCTTCTTCAGCGCGAAGCATTAGATCAAGATCGTCTGCGAGCAGTTTAGATTGCTGGTTGTAGCGATGTTCGAAGCTAAAATCGTCTTCGGATTGATATCGTCTTTGCAGCCGTGTCTCGTTTCGACCACATAAGCCACCAAAGTTTTCTTCTTGTTTCATTGGTCGGAAGTGTACCGAAGCAGGTCGCTGGCCGGGTGTATTGTGTTTTTGTTGTTGAGAAGGCTGCGTATGCGACTGACGTAGCACTGATGGATGAGGCCGATCAGGTGACGAGGGCGTTTGTTGACTTTGAGTTGTCAAGTTCGGCATGCTAGGCCGAACTCTTGCTAGTTGAGAGTCAAAAATAGAATCCGTTCTACCAACATAAAGAGGGTGATTATATGCCGTCGTTGGTTGGTGATAGTTGTTGTTTCCGGCAGTGGATAGGGTTGCCATCATATCCGATGATGGTGTAGTCAGTGCCCCAGAACTAACAACCCCGGTGGATATCGAACTGTGACTACTCTCGTGGTACAAATTCCCACTGCCCATCGAGCCAACCAGTACTACAGGGGCTCGTGAGTGGTGTTCATTGATTCGTGGTCCTGAGTAATTTCTTGCTAAAGTTCTTGAGGAATTTTGCACGCTGAAAGAGTTATCAACCATATGTAACACAGGATTTTGGAGCATTCGATGCGAGCTCGAAGTCATACCAGGGAGGGAGCCGCTTCTGCTTACCTCCGGGTAGTTTATCGTAGAGTCTTGTGTTGATGATGAGGGGTGAACGTCAACGGAAATAGCCCTTGTGATATTATCCACTATCTCTGCGAGTGATAAATCGGTGTCCACACGTACATTCATAGCGTCTATACGTGATGCTATCTCCTCATGATTGAGTCTCCATCGCTCACCTGTATTTGTGGAATTGTCGTCATTTCGTAATCTACCAGCATCGCTACTATGCGAATCATTTTCCACTGTTCTTTGATCGTTACGCGACATATGTTTATCGTCTGTTAAACTATATGAAGGGTGTTCGATAGTGTAGTGCGTGAGACACAACCCACTAATGAAAGTTATAAAGAAGTAAGGTCGTGTTTTTAAGCACGTTGATATGTCAGATCGTAAAATCCTGACTCGCGGTGAGTCTATTGTCACGCAGGCAAGTTATGAGTAAGTCGACATATTAATGTTCTTGCTATATACTGTAGACCGATATCTTAATTCTGAAGACCAAATGGCAGAATTGTAATAATTAAAAGATTTAAAAAAAATAACACATTGAGTTGGTTTCAATAATTCGGTTGAGCTCTTTCTATTATCAAGTACGCTCCTCCGTCTTCTTACAGGATCTTCAGAATCTTCCTTCAGTGCGTAACTCCTCTCTATATATGTAAAAATATATATAAATAAACATGAATTTACTATTTCGTGGTATTATAAAATATCTTTTCTTTACTTTGTTCATTAAAAAAAAACACAAAATAATAACAAATATGTTAGTCTAATATTTATTTGTTGTGCGTATGCCGATGGCTGTTTGCTTTCTTCTGAATCACGAGAGTCTGAGAGAGTGGACTGTGACTCTTTGGAGTTGGACTGGACTCGGACACTGGACACTGGAGTTTGGACACTGGTCTCTGTGTATTTTATTGTGTTTTTTACCGAGAAAAACAAATACAAGAAATAGAGTATTGAAGTATTTAGTATTTACATATTTGTATTTATTTAGAAAAAACCAACTAGTGTTTTATATATTTTTTGAAAAAACCAAAATTATTTTGTACGAACAGCCTACGAAATATCTACCACAAGCCCCAAAAGAAGACTAGTTGCCCTCTCTCTACTACTAGTAGTAGTAAATAAATGAATAGAGGAGTCAGGAGACTCGTCAGACCACTCAGACCAGTGCAAAGTGCAAATGCAAACTCGCCAAACGTGATAATTTTTCAACAAAATAAATAACAACCCAAAAAACAAACATAAATATATATTTAATATTGAGATATTTCTTTTTTGTTTGCAGTACATAATTTTTGTTTTTGTTTGGCCCTATCGGGATTTAGGTCCTCATAAATACAGTATTTAATTTTAAAAAGAACAAAGGTAGTTTGGATGTGCTACTTTGGTTTAGCGCCCCCCCCCCCCCGCGCTGGTTTTTGGGACTTCGAGTGCATTTGTGACTTTTAGATTCAGGTGTATTTTCGACATTTAAGGGCCTGTCTTAGACTGCCACACTCAAAACGATACATAAAATATTGACAAAGTTCTGAGTTCGGTATTCAAAACTGATATTTTGGGCGAATTTGGAGTATAAAGTATATTATTGGCTTTGAATTGGCTTTATATTGGCTTTGAATTGGCTTCATATAGGCTTTGAATTGACTTTATATTGGCTTTTAGTTGGCTTCTTATTGGCTTTTAAATGGCTTGAAATTGAGAAAACATATTTTTCAAGTATCGAGACCCAATCTGGCCTGAAACCCTATGGGTACAAATAGGGGTCAGGACAAAATTGTAAGTTAAAAGTTCTCCCCGCCGACCCAATTCTGGTACAACTAGTATTTGCATTAACTTTTGAACCAATAGGCCAATCGGGATGAGATTAAAAATGCATGACTAACTCGTCGAGACGAACATTTTAAGCTCTCTAACGACCAATGAACGTGAATTTTTCATGTACCTCTGGGTCAATCTTTATAGTAAAATTCCCCCGTCTCAAAAAGCCATTTTTTTGTTGTTGTCAACCCCTATCACAACAAACAATTTCTATCCCAAAGCAAAAAGAGGGTCTACCCTCTTTTTGACTTTGAAGGAAATATACAACAAAACGAAATATTGTGTTGTATTTTTTACGTCTCGAATAGCAGAATTTGATATTGCCAAAACCGTCAGTACATCCGATTTACAAAATTATTGTGCTGAAAAATTATGGAAATCGATCCTCAATATTTTCTGGATATTCCGAAATCTTGACCAAAAATCCATATGTGCTAAGCGGTACTGAAATTAGCTCCCGGAGTAACATGTTTTACTCATCTCAAAATTTATTTCCCTATATTTTGCCAAGTTAGCAAAACCGGCCTAAATATGAAGCATTTCATTCCACAGTTTTCTGCATCAGCATAATTTTACAGAAGGGCTCCTCTCCACCACTTCACCAATCACCAGTCATCTTTATCTCTCAGTCTCTTCATTTAGAGCGGCCTTCTGCTTCAATGTGGGTTAAGTCCACCTCCAGAGTGCCTGCTACCACCACTCTATATGATGACTGTGGTCTGTTAGGATCATAATGAGTAAAATATTTATTCAATAACATATTATGATTTTGTTTTTGAAAATGCATCATGAGGCCCTGAGGCCTGAGGCCTGGTCCTGAAGGCGGCCCGCCCTAAGTGGGTCAGCGGGGCTTGTGTATCATTTTTTTGTTCAATATTTTGGTTAATTTTTTTATAGAGGCTATGATATTTATTGCAGTAGATTGTATAACTGATATATGAGTAGTATGACATACGTTTCAGCAGTACCACTTTATCTTCTTTTCAAAAAAACACTGAACAGTAAACTTTTTATCGTTGTCGACTCGACGGTTGAGGACTCTTGAAATGGCGGGTTGGAACTTGGAAGGGTCAGATGATCAGCTTTTTCTTCTTCATTATGGGTTGGTATCTACTATCCCCGTCACCCGAAAGCTCCGACACATGATGTTAGGGCCGTTCGGCCATAGGATCGGACCAGTCAGGGACTTGAAAGCGTTGAATTTACTACGCTCACGCCTCTGGTGAGTCACGTCTCAAAACAGAATCCCTCTATATAGGTCAAAAGAAAATTTGTGACACACGACATTCTATAAAAAGACATTAGCCCTTTTAAAATAAATAAATAAAAAACCCCTTTTTCTCTCACATAAGTGATTTGCCAATTACTTATTGTACATTGGTAACTCCAATTCTAAAGCCTCATAGCCCCTATATGAGTCTCGAGTAATGAGTAGTATCGTCACTCGTGCAATGACAACCAATTAAGAATTCTAAATTGGAGTACAAGGAGTAGGCTGGTGACCGTATCATTGTATTTCTTTGTTCAAATATAAAATTTTGTGTAGGGTCGCTGACACGCCTGACAGCCTCTTCAGGTTTCAGCTGTCTGGTGTCAGCCGTCAGCGGTCAGAGTTCAGACTGTCAAGTCCGTTCTTCACTCTGCACTGGGCAGTCTGCTGTCTGCACTGCAGTCTGCAGTTCTGCACTCCCTCGGCCTCGAGCCTCGGACGGCTTTGTCATACGACACCCGTCACTATAAAATTATTGAAGCCCGAGCCCGTGATTAAAGCTGCATCCGGTCTATTCGCAAAGGTAGGGTCGATATTTATGGGCCAAGTACCGAACTGTCAAGTGTTCTAAATATTACATGAGAAGGCAATGTATGATCGTGCACTGTAGTTCAACAATGTTGAATTTTGTTTTGTCCCGTTCTGTTTGTAAATTTCAGGTCCAAGGGATTTTGTCCTGTTCTGTGATTTCATTAACCGCAATTTTTTTAGAACATAAATTCATTTTTTTTTTACTCGGTTCATAAACATAGAAATACTAGTAAGAATCAGTGACAACAACCCGCACTTTTTTGCTGGGGTTTGGGATACGATACCATCATACACCCTTGAAAAAATGTCGTCGCGACATGTGACATGCCGTCTCGATATGTGTCTGTAGGCTACGATACAGTCACCAGCAAACCTGCCGACACCATGTCGCGACCGACATGTCCTACAATATGTCGCCGCGACATGTCTGACATGTCGTTTGCCCAATTGTCGGCGTCATTTACCAACCCAGTTTTGATTTCGTGAAATCGGTGAAAAGCTCGTGAAGCAAATTCGTGACTGAAATCTTCCCCGAAACCGATTCTGGCCAAACCGCGTGCGGCGTGACTCGTGAAGAAAAATAGAAAATATATACGTACTCAAATTATAATAGCTTCACCGATCCTTCACGACTTGACGAGTTTTGAAATCTCAAAGGAAGAGAGTATTGAAATCTGAAACAAAACGCATTTGACTGGTGAAATTTTAAACCTATTTTTGTAAACTCACCGATTCCATTTTTATTTTTTGGAGCCGCTCAATTTCATGAGTAAATCTAATATTATGTATAACTCAAGAGACCTACTAGCCTACTCTACGAGTAGAGAGGCTATTAGAGTCGAGAGAACAATGACTTTAACCATAGCCTTCTCAAAAAAACACCAATAACTAATATTTAAAAATAAAAATGGGTTCAACTCAATTTCGAATTGTATTTATTTATATTCTTCTTGAAGAAATAGGACGCCTTCGGTATTCGGTCCCCTAATTTGAAATCTGAGAACCAATAGATATGTCAAACAAGATATCAGTGAAGACTGAAGAATTTGTGGCATCGGTGCGGGACTGCGGGTATTCCGGGCAGTCTATTAAAATTTACTCTATATAAAACAAGCTGTTTTTTATTTTGGGTTTTTTTATCAAAAAACCTACAACAACAATTTTTATTATAAATAACTTGACTTCCCAGTTGCCTTTTGGCTGTGATTTTGTGATTTTCACACTTGATGTACGCTATGTAGCAGGCAATTGATAAAATATTAAAATTGTCTCTCAGAAATAAGCTTCTCAAATGACAATTTATACTCCATATCAGTTGTAGAATGTTTTTCTTATATATTTGTTTTAAAAAAATATGATAAAGATTAGAGGGACATGACTTTCAAAGTTTCACTGTTCATTCACACTGTCAGTTATTACTTATTACTTAATACTTACTCTTAAACTCTATGTCTCTTTGTAGCCACTCTACTCTACTACTATTCTCTTTACTCTTTACTACTCTAAAGAGTAGAAAGAAAGAGAGAGAGTCTTTACGCCAGAGTAGTATTTATTAGTAGAGACTCTACTCTACCAAGTACATACATAGTAGTAGAGACTAGAGAGAGAGTCTCGTGTCTAATTGTCTATATACCACTAGTAGAGTAGAGCGAGAGATCTAAATAAAGAGCGTCTC